GCTAACAACAGAGCTCTCTGATGAAATACTTCTTAGTGTTTGCTCCCTGTTAGTGCCCTTTGGTAAGGAGCAGGTAGCATCTAGCTTGCTGCCACTGCAGAGCAGCCAGCAGAGATTTCACAGCCATGTGAGCCGCTGGGGGAAGGTCTGTGACAACCCTTAGGAGTGCTCCCTGACCAACTCAGAGCTGACCTATTCAGCTGCCATGGGGAGGCAGGGCACCTACGAGAGGGAGGCAAACATCTCTTCTGATAGCTCTTCCTTCCCTGGTTCAGTGCATGTATTAAACAACAAGCAAAAACCTCTGTGGTATTAGAAATTAAGTGTGAAAGCCACAGTAATGCTGGGCTTCCTTCTGTTTTTATGATTCCTTTTCATTCCTTGCCATCCTAGCCTTTTACAAACATTAGTTAATTCTCTGACAATCCTTATCTTTGCTTTACAACCGGGGAAGCTGGAGCACCGAACAGCGATGGTATTTATCTAGACAAGGCCCTGGAGACTCATGGTAGAGCTGAGAGCTAAGCCCCTGCCTTTGGCTCTCAATCTTGTATCCTAAACCCCTCCGTTTTCTGCACTTTCCAAATTACTCATCTTGAAATGCAGCACTTCTAAATAAAAAGGTAAATGTCAAACAGCACAATTGCCATCCACTGTTCTCCCTTCCCTCTGTTTGCTGGGACAGGCAGATACGGGTGCTCTGATTCCCTTCAGCATGGATGTGAAACCGAAACCTTTGGAGTCCACTACAAAGAGCTGTTTTGTTTTTCTTTTTCCTGGCACACAGGTTATCGAATGCCCCAGTGTACAAAACAGCCATTACTAACCTGGGATGGGCCCAATACAGTGAAAGCAAGGAAGGAGGTAGCAATGGGCAGTTCTACCCCAGTGAAGAAGAGAGATGTTCAGAAATCAAGGAAAATTCTTCACGTGTTGAAATGATGCGCTCTGCACCACAGCTCTTCTAGGTTTTCCAAATGGCCATTTATGAAGCAGAGAGCTTTCTATTGCTATTAGCACCCTGCAAAATATAGAGGCATCTTGAGAAGAAAAAATATTTTACTGCCAAGTAGACAGGGATCTTCCTAATACAATTCTGTCTGGTGCAAAATCTGCCAACCTCCGAGATAAAACTCGCACCACACTACAGTGAGCATGACCTGTAGGTCTGGCCCTGCACCATTAAATTCCACACACATTTGAATTGAAAATATTGCATGTGATTTACTCATAACACCTACTTTTCGTAGTCAGTAGAGCTCTTCTCAATAACTTACCACAACTGGTAGAAATTATGCAGAAAACAGCAGTAGTAAAGCATGGTTTCTTAGCTGGAATAATATAGCAAGGTAGATAAACAGAAGAAATATCACTACTTACTCCTGGAATTTACTTTTAGAGTTTTTACTTCAAAAAGTGCAAGCCCACAGAAATGCTTATATTGCATACAGGAGCATATTGGTATTGGCTAAAATGTGTTCTTAAACATCCATATATTTAGCCCCTTTTTATAAGTTTCAGAAAAAATACAGGCATTACAGAAATGACCAGGGCTTCATTTACAATGTTTTAAAAGAATGTATAACTGTTTGCCACCAGAGTGATACCCCTACCAAAGTCAGGGAAGAGCTTCTGAGCTAATGTGAGGTAAGCATCAAATTCATTCTAGATATTAGTTTAGGGAATTAAATGAAGAGAGAGATTGCATCAGTGATCAGGAAAGAACGACTGACCAAAGCTCATGGATGAGACCCTGAGGAGAGCTAAAATCAGTGACCAAACCACCACCTGTAAGAACATAACCCCTAAGAGCATATTTCAAACTCAGGCAAGAGCTGCAGCACATATCAGCAAAAAATTGCAGTCAGCAAAGGCAGCTGACAGACTTAAACAAATGAGCACAGATGCAGTCTTGGAAAAGACAATGCAACTATCTGAAGATATTTCTAGAGCACCTGATATCACGGAATTGAATTTAAGCACCAAGATATAGTTTCTTTGCTCTATACAAATTGAAAGCCTCCTGAAAGAAGGAATTTGGAAAATTTTCAGACATAAACAACATCAGGGTGTTTACCACAGCCTTCAAATGGAGGAGGTTGGAGGGAAGACAATAACTGAGGTCATGAGAGTTATAGATGGGTGGCAATTAACTCCCCAGGATATTTCAGCTGCTGCGGTATAACACAGAGAGAAATGGTCACAGAGCTACCTGATCCAAATCCACTACATATCTTAAGGAACGAGATGAGCATCGTGATGTGGACCAAGAAACGTACAGCGAATCAATACAAAATGTGGCATTTCACTGCAGCCAGCTGGGGACTACCCTACTTAGAATCTTCTCCCAGATTGCATTTTCCACTGAGAGAGACTTGATCTACTGAAGCTTTAAAAGCGCCTTCCCCAAGTTGGAATTTTAGTTCATCTCCCTCTTTTGTGCATGTCAGCCGTACGTTTTTAAAGAAATCAATAAGATCTCTTTCTGAGGACAACATTGCCTTACATGAACTGGCTACCTAGATTTCTGGTACTGGGCCTTGTTTTGGAGCGGCACTTTCACAGGTCCACCTCCCCTCTCCTCCTCGTGACGTTACACCATCCCACTTTTCAACAAGTGCAAGATTATTTCCATTACCACAACACCAAACATGTTTACGATCTTTTAAAAGATGTTTTGTACTTTTCCTTCATATCCCCTAGAGACTTCCGCTAAGTAAACTTGAAGGAAATTTCTATCTAGATTTTGGGAACACCTTTTCTGCCAGTGACATAAGCATGGCATACATAGTAGAGAAATCTGTATGTTATTCAGTTGTTATCTTCTATAATCAAGAAGAAAAATTAGGGTTAATCCCCAAATCTCTCATCTTTTTTTTTTTTTTCTCCCTATCAGTTGGAATTTTACATAACACAAACAGAGATAGAATTCAGTCTTATTTCTGAGTTTCTTTCAGATTCTATTCATGATTTTTCACCTAGAAAAGTCTCTCACTATCTTAGTGATAACATTCACCTCCATTTCTTTCTTTAGCCTCCACTAAATTTTCAGTTTGATAATCAGGAAATATTATTACACTGAAATCCCTATAAACTGCCTGTCTTTGCTCAAGATAATCAAAATCTATACAGAGGATGGTTTCTACAGATATTTTTATCTTTTAATATTTATTCAACTCACTTGAACAATCACACTGATACAATATGAAAATTCTGCCTATATATTTATAAATTTGCTTTTTTCTTTTGATCTTCACTATGTAGTATCTTTACTTCAGAATAAAAACATTTCAAACAATGTCTTGGTGTCAATTCAGTAATGCTGTTTAGGGGTTTGATATAGAGTGTTTCAATGAGGTTATCCCCCTAAAGATCTAATTGATCATCTGGGCTTAATCCCTCCATACAGTTTATATGAGGAGTGATTTAATGGAGATAAATAGTTACAGCATCACAAAGTTTGGATTAAATGACTCACAAAAATTGATTAATCTGGGCTACATGAGTGAACAATGAACACGGGCTTCTCACTTCTACCATATCCAAGGTAACAGATCACCACAGCAGGAGAAAAATACAGCTTTGAGTTTCCCATACAATTGATAACATTAGACTCAACTGTTTTGTCCCCATACAGGGAAGCCAGTGGGCTAAATTATAAGACTATCCTCAAACATTTCATCAAACATTTTCCAGCTCCTGAATCTACCCAGACATGTCCAAGATGATGTATCCAACAACAGACTCCTCTTTTGAATATAGCACTAGTTCACTCCCACTTCAAACCTCCTGAATCCCAACAAACATACATCTCAGATGTACTTCAAAAAGCAATATAAATATGTGTTTATTTGAAAATTTACACTTTCAGTGGATACATTAAGACATCATGAAACTGGCTTATTATTATACTGGTACTGCTCAGCACAGAGCTGAAACATTGGGCTCTATGTGTAACAGGCAAGCTTGCAATGAATCTCAAAGCATATAAGAGGAAGCAAAAAAGACTGATAAAAGTAAAAGCATCAGCTCCAAAATAGCATAACACACTCTCAGCTGCTGCTTCTGCAGTGCTTTAGAAAACACTCTGAACCTGTTACACTTGTGCAGTTTGGAGGTTTAAGACGTTGATAATAATCATTTAGTGTCAGATGCTTTACTATTACTGCCTCAAAGAATCTACAAACATAACCCACCTGCTAGCTCATAAAGCATATGGTGATGACTTTAAAAAAATAAACCAGAAAAAAGAAAACAATTTTTTCCAGAAGTGACTTTGTCTACCATCAGACATATTCCTAAAGTAGAAAGGTGGCTTTTTCATTGATCCTTGATCATTCATATTTTGACAAGGAGAGACAGAATCACACCCATTGCTACTGAATCATTTGTATGCATCATTTGTGTTATTGTCACAGTGCTATTAGTGCAATTCTCTGGAACATTTTGTTGGTTTGGAGCAGACTGTAATGTGATGATACATCAGGCATCAACATACAGTATCATCATCGTTCAAAACATTAAAGGAGTGTTATTTATCTGAAAATTGGTAGCATCCACAGCCCTGTTTCACACTGTCATTTACAAAAGTGTGATAGAACGACACAATGTCTGAAGACAGCCTATCACAAAGACTTGTCCATGTTAGTCAGATCCCATTTGGAAAGGCAAATATAAATACAGAGGTGCTGTAAGAAGTGGACTTGACATTATTTCACATGTAGACATGGTCCACCACCATAGAGCATACCTCTGGATGAAAACTAATTATCCCATACAAAACATCTACTAATCACAAAAAAAAAAGGGGGGGGGGGGGGGGGGGAGGGGGAGGGAACAAGAAAAAGGAGCTTATTAAATTCCAAAGTTTTAGATTACAAAAGGGAGAACGTTAACCCCAACACTGCTGTTCTAATGAGCTTGTTTAAAAAGTGTTGACTAGGCAAAACTATGATTTTAACTACAGGGGGCCACAACAGCTACCTGGAGAACTCACGTACCAGAAGTTCCATTTTTCAACTGATCAGAAAGCCAAGTATGCCTCGATGTTGATGAGATGACCAAGACCTTGACAGGTATCACAGAAGTTCACTTCAATGTAAGGTGCTAGAAAAACAAAGTTTGCCATTAGTTGACATCTTCTGTAGCAATTTTCAGCCAGCAAGTGACAGCTATTCTGCAAGCACAACATAAAGACAGTCTTCTGTGTTTTGTAAGGCCAGTATTTTAGAAGATGATCTGAAGTCCCTTATTGATACAGTTTAGACATGAGCTCAACCCTGAAATTCATTTCAATGTCACCACTGCTGGAAATTAATTGCTGCTTTCTACCTGGAAGCATTTATTTGTTCGCTGTACCTGCCTCACTAAAGTGAGCGACTGCACTCCAGGCTGCTTCTGCTTTGGAAGCTCCAGCATTTCTGACTGCTTCTTTCCTAATACAAGTGGAAACTTCAAATCACTGTGACAAATCCATGGAAAGGATCTGCCAGTTCTCTTGTGCACTTGGCTATCTTATATTCCTCATGTACCTAAAAGCTTTAAGACCGTAAGACATGCAAAGCATTGCAGCACCAGGAACAATCCCGAGTGGATGTCTGTCTGCCATGCTATCCCCATGCTTGCACAGTGTATTAACATGCAAATCCAGAACAGTGCATATGCTAACGTCTAGGAAAAGACTTGTCATTTCAGGATATCAATGTAATGAACAAGTGGAATTCTATAGTATCACCCTAGGAAGATGTATTGCATAGCACAAGTGACCAAGGAAGCCCTTCAGTGACCTGTTGGTAAGAATGCACAGACATGAATGGCAAAGGAAAGAATATGGCCAAAGAGAAGGAACACAGCTGTGGTCATTCTCCCTGCCCAGCTTCAGCAGCAAAAATCAGTGAACAACTTGTGACTCTGGCTCTGTGACCACCCGCCAGTTTGGTGAATCTGTCCCTGTCAGTTTTCTTATACCTTGAGCTGCTATTCAACTCTCAAGCGTCAAGCAGTGTACATGGTACAAGTGCAATGGCTTCAGGGTGCATACATCTGTTACTCCTGTGACTGCTGCTGAAGCACAGAGGTTGGGTTGGCAGATGTAAGATTTGCCTTTGAGGATAAATAGGTCATATATCAGAAAGTAAAAACAGAGAAACAGCTGCAGTCCTTCTTCCCCAACAGACTGGTACTTTGTTCAACCATACCCATAACAACTAAAGGCATAGTCCCTTGAGAGCAATTCCCCATTCAACATTGCTAAGCAGCAGGCACAAGAGCGTAGCAAAGTCAGCTGGTAGAGGCCTATGATGAGGTACAAGCGAAGCACACCATGGTGAGGAGCCAGAAGTGAAGGGCTCAGCATAAACGCTTTCCTTGGCACATACTTACTAGAGTTTGTTACTATTAAAATAGAACAATTTGCTGTAGGAAAGCTCAATTTCAACATGTGCTTTCTCTGCTTTCCTCCAGCTTTTGAAGTTTTCATTGCAGTTAGTCCATTCACATGCAATCACTTGGATTGCACTGGCTTCTTTAGCGACGAATAAAAAAATAGGTGGTGGCTACAGTGCTTAAAGGAAAGGTAATGAATTGCTCAATGCTACACCAACAGCTTGCCTCAAAATAGCAGCAGTTGCCCTTCTCCAAATAGCTCCAGTTAGAAAGCAACTGTGCTTGATGCAGAAGTAAAGATTAAGGGTCTGGTCCATACATGGGTTATGCTGGTAAATAAGGAATGCCTCCACTGGGAGTTAGACTGCCGGGAGATGGGACGAGCTCAGAACTGTATCCTGTGGCCACCATACGCAGAGAGGAATCTCAATATGGGGATAAGATAGTAACTAGAAGATTAACTTACATTTTCTAACCACGAACTTCAGTCTGCCCCACAGTGCTTGCAAAGGACACCTAAACTCTTCTTATCCCTTCTTTCTATACCTCTTCCCATGGCAAATCCCAAAACATGATACTCTATACTCTGCTGAACCCTTCAGCTATAAAAGATAACTTCCATAAGATTTCTCTAACACTGCTCTGAAATGTCTTTATGGCTATTGGCTATTTCTCACCAAGCTGCATTTGCTTTCTTCTACAAATCCTGTCAAATGCTAATGACAGCAAATTCCCCGTTCCCCTCCAGCTGCTCCCAGAAAGCCTTTTAGAGTTCTAGTTCATAGAGATCACATGTGCAGGCCTTGGAGTGGAAGAGGGCTGTAAACAGGCAGTCGACTGTTTCTCTTAACACAGAAGATAAGTTTCTGCTAGGGGTGCAATTAGTTGACATGACTTTTACTAACAGGTCTTATGGCACAAAATTATATCCAGCTCTTCCCACATAGCTATTCCCACCCACTGCATTTATTAACCAGAAATCCTTCTAAATGTTATCTAGTAGCATGAATTAAGCAGTTGTGTTTTGCAGATCATGTTCTTTAGCTTGCTCTTTCATTTCCTCTTATTCAACATTATCACATTATGTTCCTCTTCTTATGTGCTTTTCCTCTCCACAAAGCTCTTTAAACAGCTGCAAAGGGGGAGGGACCACTATGCTTATGAAAACTCCACTTTGCAGAATGCTTCTGCCAGGTCCTACTGTCTGTCTCTTTCCAGGGATTTAATACCTCCAAGATCCAGGTTTGCTTTTACATCTCTTCCTTGTGCAACCCTGACAACAGAGCCTACTGCCAGCTGTCTTAATTGAAGAACAGTAATCCACCTCTTCTTCTTGTTGCCATGAGGAATGCATACACCCTCTTTCTCTTTGTAGTGGGCTCCTATTATTTTAACGGTAAGTGATCTTTTCTTTCAGATACAGTTTGTGAAACAGTGTTAGCTTTCAGGGCTAGGAGGTAGATGATACCATTCGTAACTACCACCTCAGTAGGCTGCAGACTTTACGAAGATGCATGAAATTGATTGTTTTAGTGTTGTTTCTGGCTCATTCGGTATCAGCAAATCCACTACGATGCTTATGTAAGTTGGACATAAAATGACAGAGCAGTAGGAGATGACATTGATAACCAGTAAAGAATGTTCCTTTAGATGCTCCCCGGATAATCTGTGACAGGAAAAGCAGGCGTTGCGTTTAGAGGGAAAAAAAGAAAAAATGAACCAAGACATAAAGCATAAATGAGAGAGATCTCCCCCCTCTGTACAATTATTGACTCAAGTTTGTGTATTTGCAAAGTTCTTATTTCCTAATTGTTTGATTCATACATAATTAATGTTTAAATTCAATTAGAATACATAAATATATATTTAAAAATGTAAACATACATTAAGAACATTTTCTTTAGCCCGTCAGGATTTCTTGCCTATGTTTTAGCCAACACGCACAGCTCAACAGCAGCACACAATAGTGCATTTACCTTGGGAGCATCTTCCCACGGAGAGACTCCACTGAAGCATTCAGAGTGAAACTGGCAGAAAGTGAACTGGGACAAAAATCACATTTTCCTATATGTACCTAGTCAACCTGCAGTTTTGTTTCTTCTATACTTCAGAAAACATCTGCTTTGTAACTACTGCAGGGTGAGGGCCTACTTTAGATTACACATTTTTGAATCCGTCAGCATTTTATTTTTATTTTCATTAATTGTACTGCAGAAGTTAAAATATGCTGTAAAATACAGTAAATTCACTATTACTTGCTTAGGAACAATAAGCATTCCAAAGTAGTGTGCATTGTCCTGAGACGCCATGTAGATCTTTTTACTCAATAGTACACTGAGAAGTAACAACATCACTAAGTAATTTCAGAGAAGATAATAAGATTGTCTTATTGCTGCATCCTACTTGCTCCTTCCTAATTATAGACGGGAATTTGGTACGTCACCGTTGTCAACATAAGTCATTTGCAAAAGAGGAAAGACCAAAATGACAATAGGTTGTGCAATATATTATTTCTAAACTATTATTATTTCAACAGTTATTTTAATAACTTGTTAGGGAAATGGGGGAAGCATGTCTTCTGTTAAATTCTACAGTTTAGATAGTGGTAACAGTGTACTTGCCTGTATTTGTTGACACTGCTCCTTATTCTGTTCTGGGGAAATCATGCCGACGTATTTGTCACTACACTGAAAATAAGCAGTACAGCACAGACTAAGTAGTTATTTCATTTTTTATATTTAACTTTGACCATGTAAAAAGTAAAGTTTGCACAGAGTAGTGAATCAAGCCTGTTTTTGTTTCTTCTACTGTGAAGTTGAAAGCATGATAAAGCAGTTTGTTTTTAACAGTAATACCCCTACACAGAGAATACAAACTTACTGCAGAATCTGTGCTGCAATTTATGGGGTGATTTGCTTTCCTTTTAATGGAGGAGATGTGCAGCATGTTCAGTGAAGCTATGAAAATTTCACTAGCTCAGGATCCACCCCAATGTGTTTTCCCTATTACTTTCAGTACACAAATACACTTTACCCCCAAATTAGGGCTGCTTCATCATTACTGTTAACATCATTTCTCTAAAAGCAACGTTTTACTTCCTGCAGCATTTGTGGTGATTACTGCTATTTGGAGAAAAGGATTTTGCGAGGGGAAAAAGTGCACTTGCATTTCTTTCAACACTGAGGGGAAAAACAGGAGTTTTCAAATGCGCAACCACTGACATCATGAAATACATATAAGGACAATTTTGTTTTCATTAGGTGCCATCTGGTTACTATAAGATTGGTAATGGAAAGTGGATTATAAAAATTATTCAAGAGCCACTCATTTTTACACTTTATTTACAGGCAGATTAGACCTGGCAACCTTTAAGGCAGGGCACTGCTGACATCTAGCGGCATGTGATACAGGCAGCTGAGTGAGGTAGAGTAGCCCCTCTGACCTTAATTTTTGATGATTAAGTTCTTTAAAAGTTGGGATGGTGTGGCAATTTTGTTAATAATTCTTCATTATAGGAACCCCTTCCCTAAGAACAGAGAACAGTATCTCAAAGGGCTTCATTATTTAACAGGCTGTTCTTATAATTAAGTCATGGCAGTCATTCAGCTGCATAAAGTTTATTGACAGAGTCAGTACTTCAAAATCTAAGCTGTTCTCATCAGACATGGAGACCCACAGTATGTTGTGATTTGCAGACCAGATGACCACGACTTCCCAAATCAGGTTTCAGAGAACAAGCAGTGATTACTGTACCTTCAGAATTAGGTTTCTGTAAATATTCTGCAGTTTCCACTTTTCTCACCGCTTAGGCAAACACTCCATACACTAGAATAACTACAGAAAGATGGGAACACAGGGAAACCATATTTAAAAATTCAAACAAGAATTCACTCTCTGTGCTAGCAACATTCAGCAACCACTATATGAAACAAACCAAATGACAATTTGTTTATATTTTAATTATAGCAGTCAGTTTATGTCACTTATATATGCAGCAGCAACACAAATATTTGCTTAAAAATTAAATAAAAATAACTAACATAAATTATCTCTTTAGCTATCATGAGGCTTTTCAGCTATCCCTGTAAACACAAAACAATCCATTCCTGGAATGAAGCCCCCTTTTCTACACTGTATAAACTTTAGCTCCATCTTAATTGCAATACAAAAAAAAAAAAAAAAAAAAAAAAAAAAAAAAAAAAACAGAATCTGGAGCTTAGCAAGGATCAACATAGCTCTAGCTTGATAAGCCTTTGATTAGGCAGGCTTACATTGGGGATAAATATAACATTAAAATACCACATGATACTAAGGTTTTCATAATGACTTGTGCAGGAGTACAAAGCAAGTGTGAATCACAAAACCAACAACCCCAACAAACACAGATGTTTTCCCAAATGGCTTGGGATGTACTTGAGAAGCCTATTCTAGAGGACCCTATTACAGTTAAGGACGTGTGACAAAATCTGTGCTACCAATGACGTAGCACATACTCCTTTTAAGAGAAGTAAAGCATGCCTGCTGTTTATCTCATCCTTTCCCCACAGCTTGAGTAAAAGCTGTGCTTAGATATGACAGATCCGTTTGATGAAATTTTCTTCCATGTCTCCCCACTTCATACTGGATCAGAAACAAGTTCTTAAGGTATTTTTATATCTGAGTGTAATTCAAAATTACCAAGTTTCAAGAGAGATTTGTTCCCTCTAGCAACTTACAGCCCAGTTCACATGAAAGCAAATATGCTGTAGAGACATGCTTTTAATTTCTGCAATTTCTAAGGTTGTTAGGTACCCTTTCCTACTGAAGAGTCACGCTGTTCGCTGGACTAGAATCTGTTTTCATTAACGCCTGTGTCCATCGCTGCCAGGTGTACCACACAACACAGAATTACTCTACATAGAGCAGAATCACTCTCCTGCAAGGGGACAATACTGCTGGTAGGTTGTTACCAGGACCTTCGTCATCAGTATTATTACGTGGTCAACACTGGTTTGAAAAGTCCACTACCATACCATAAAAAAGCAAACACGAGAACATGGGACCCAGTCACCTCTGGAGCTGTGCCATAAGCCATCCTGCTCCACAGGGAACGTTCAGGCTTGTTTGACAGCAGCTTGCAGATCCTGTATTTTGCAGATACTGGACTCCAGCTTTAGCTGCCTAAGATTTAAAGCATTTGTGCTAGTCCATAAATCAGGTTGATTTTACACATAAAGTAAGGCATATATTAGTGCATCTGGATTTCATATAAAAGTATTCTGAAACAGAAACATCACTGGCCACCAAAGAGCTCCAAATCTTTAAAAATACCCTATGACTCCTGCAGCTCATCCTCTGGTTTTCCCTACGCAGACCAGAGTCTTCCAATTTGTTCCTGTGCCTGCAACTCTTTCCTCGTCTCCTGTGACAATGAAGAGAAAAGTCACACCCAGACTCCCTCCATTTAGATCTTTGAAACATTTTTCCTGTGTTATTAAGAAGGTGGGTTTCCTCCTGGTTTCTGAATGCACTCCCCAAAGTACCTATCAACCTGAGCTTTGCATTTTACTGTGGGGAAAACAAAAACAAACACAAACACATAGTGCCCTGAACTTTCTGCTTTTGATCTATGCTCTGTGAAAGACAGTCAGCTTCAGCAGAACAGATACTGGTGCAAGCACCACATCCTTCTGCTCCTGCAAAACGACGGTCTTTAGAAAATCAAAAGCCCTCATTACTTCATGAAGATGATCCGATGCACAGGTATTCCATGATCTCTACATCATGCCACTTGGTGTCCCTTCTGTGAGCCCGTTACGTGATGTTTTACAGGAAGCACCGCAGCAGATGCTGAAGAAAAGCTAATGAACCACCTACTGAGTCCTGACAGGTACAATAAGTTAATTCGCCCGGCTGTCAACTCATCCCAGTTGGTATCTATAGAACTGCAGGTTTCCTTGGCACAGCTCATCAGCGTGGTAAGCTCACGTTAAGCTACACCTTTTAGTTCATTACTATGGACACAGCACTCTTAAGTAAAAGCCAGACTGGTGTTAGTCTGTCCCCACTATTTCCTACTTTGCATAACATGCAGGGCCCATACATGCAGTTTGCAGGTTTTATTTCAGAATGCAGCTACAACAATCTATGCGTAAGGACAGCAGCCAGATCTTCATCCAATACAATCCCACTGATCAAAAATCAAGATCTTTCTCTGGATTCAGTAAGGCTGCAGCGAGTTACACCAGGTCAGGATCTCTCCTGGGCTGTGCACATAATGTCACTGCTTGCCATTACTCCTTGAGCTATCACTGCACACCCTGACAAAGCATTCCCTTTCCAGATTTCTTGTAGGCCCTCTTTGGTACTGAAAGACCGCTATAAGGTTTTCTGGTAGAAACTCCTACTAGTTCCATGAAGATGAACCTCCTAGATAAGAGCTTACATGGCAAACCTTACATAAACTTTACACAAATTCTTTTAGAGCTTTTTGGTGGCAAAAGTTTGCCTCCTGTTTCAGCTAAGACCCACGAGGGAAAAAAAAGTCAGCTTGCAGGGGAGAAATTGTTCCCAAGGAGTGGCATTCACACCAGTCACAACTGTCCTTGTTAAAAGCCACTTGGACCTACCTGCTTATGGGGTGACAATACATTATCAATATGTGCACAAAGCCAGGCATCTACCAGTAGAGAACTGCCTGTTTTGAAATACACCACGCAAAATCATTCTGTACAGTTGGAAATATCCTTGAAATCCCAGAAAGAATAAATCTTATTACTGCAATAAAATGGAACATTTCAGAGGACAGCTTTTCTCTGTCTCTTCCCCTGCAGAATGAACGGGAGCAGATCATGACTACAAATGTCTGGCTGAACCAGGTAACAAAACCCACAGAGGCACGCCCTTGCAAAGCACAAACAGCACTGCTTTCTCTACAGCACAGTGATTGTTTTGTTTGTGATGGTCTGGATCCTCCCATCACTAATGTATAATTCTTCTCCTAGGAGTGGATTGATTATCGTTTGGCTTGGAAGCCCTCTGACTATGAAGGAATAAATACGCTGAGAATACCTGCAAAACACATCTGGCTGCCAGACATTGTGCTTTACAATAAGTAAGTAAAACATCCCTAATTTATACAGATGGTGAACAAAATGTTAACCACATATTGAGAAAAAAGCATCAGAACCAATGATGTAGGTCTGACAAGTCTGAAACTAAAGGGTAGACCTTTTAGCCAGTATCAAGTATATCTGGCAGAGGTCCTGGCCTTAAAGATCATTTCAGCAAAATCGGGACTCTAGGCAGAGAGATTCTAGCAGAGCTGGGGCGAGTCTGCAGCATGAGTTGTTACAACACCAGAAGATCAATGAGAAGGCTCACAACTGAGACACAAGGCTTTATCAGATTAGACTACTTGGAAAGCTTGGAAAGAATGAATTTTAAGAACAAGCACAGCTGCACGCTGACCAGGTTTCAACAAAGACAGCTGGAATTCTATCAGACATCTTGGGCACTGTGCTAGATTTTTATCTCCTCCTTCTTCTCTCCTTCCACCACAGACTCCAGGACATAAATCTGCCTCAAGCTCACAGACAACAGAACTCCATGAGTTAATATTAACTTTCAAAACCAGATTATATTCTATTTTCATAAAGCATTCAAAAGTCAATTATAAGAATATATAACAAATCTGTCAACATTTGACCTCACTGCTTCACGATACTAAGAAAAATAAAACCTTGGAGCTAGAACATGATTCGATTTTTCTTTCAAACAACTGCTGATTTTTGGGGGGTTTGTTTTTAAGTCTCTAGCAAAGCGTTGAAGTAGATAATATCATTTTTTTTGGAAAACAAATAAACACCACAATAACCAAAACTTATAATACACTTTCATGATACTTTGAAAACCAATGAATTCATGAACGCAGGATGGTTTACTAACATGTACAGATGGGAAACCTAGGAAGTTTATATATAACTGAATTAAGTCCCTGGAATCCTACTACTGGAAATCAGATTTGAGAAATATTTAAATACTAAAAACTATTGTATTAGTCACAAAATAATTCAGCTAGTGGATTAGGATGTACTCTGCCTCGTCAAATCTTGTTCTGCTAAATTGTGTCCCCGCCCCCAGCGTCTTTCTTCCTATTCCCCAAATAGTATAATTTAGTGGATTGTAAGAAGGGCAAGGAACATTTTTTAAAGGCTTGCTAAATGTACAGAAACAAGCTTTTAGCAACACCATATTGGTGGGTTTTTTTGTTTGTTTTGTTTTGATGTTTTTTTTTTTTGTTTGTTTGTTTTTTACATGAGTACAAAGCTTGAAATTAAAGTTTTAGGTAAGGACTGATCCCCCTGTAACTTTCTTCTGCTGGAGCAGTGTTTTGTAGGCAGCAGTCAGTCCAGCATGGTCCCAACAAGGAAAACAGACGATCATTCCTGCACCACACAGCTCTGCCCAAATGCAGGTGGCACAGGGGGCTGTAGAGGACACTGAGACAGCACCAGCAGCTTGGCCTCAGAGCTCAGGCAGGGGCAGCAAGCAAAAGCACCTGCATATTCTCAGCCCCCAAGTCTATGCAGTATTATGGCTTAACTGTAAATCTAACTCAGGGAAATAGAGAAATAGAGACATGTGAGAGACAAAATAGTTTCTTTACTAAAAATAAATAACTAAATAAATATATACACACACATATTGACTGGCAACCAACTAAAGACCCTTACACACTGTAGCCTCTCACTTCTGCACTTAGTTGTTTCACTGCCTACACAAATTAGCTGCAAGGGTCTCAGCTCAGCAGTGCTAGGCTCCAGGACGTCTTTGCATCGCCAAGTGTAACCAATCTGGAGGGCAGCTATACACGTGCCAAGCCTTGGATGCTTGCACTGATTTTTTGCTCAGAAAAATCAACCTTAGTACAGAAACAGCTCTATTTTTATGACTTGTCAACAGACAGGTGATTCACTAGACTTTCTTGCTAACTCCCAAGGAGCAAATTTCCCATTGCAGTAAAAGGGTGCTATTTAATCACGGTCAGTTGAACTTCCTCTGTTTACACTTTGACTTTGGTATTTTAGTTGTGCAGATAACATATTGTCTCTAAATTGTATGAGCTTCCTTACAAATGTAGCTGTTTATCCAACAGGAAATGGGATATATCTAGTCCAGACTCACTTTTGCAGCCTAACAAGTGTCTAACCCAGTTTTAGTAACAGCAATTGAGTTTCCTCTTCCATCAATAAAGAGTCACTGAAAGTTCCTCCTCCCTCCTGTTCCAATTTCCTTGGTCAGCAGGACTGACTGAGTTTGAAAGGCATTGCATAGCGTGCTTGAAAAGATGCAGTGAATACACTATCAAACTCTAGATTTCAAGGAAATTTCTCACAATTGACCACACTTCTGCCTCAGGATACTTCATAGGATAAACAATCCCATGTTGTTTGCCCAGAAACGCTGGAAAAGAAACCATACTGACTACTGACTGATAATGATCCTCTCCCTGAATTAAAGGACCCAGCATAACACAGGAGACTCTCCTGGTGTAAGCTTAGCATTTGGAGGAGACACAAAGCCAACATCATTTGTGGGCATTAAGAACCCTGTGGCTTGTCTGGCCTGGTTTTGTAATATGTAAGCATTAACTGGAACAAGCCGATCAATTATAAACTATATAATTACATTTCCTCTGCCTGCACTCTCCCTGCATTTCTAACTAGCACTGCACATCCTTATTTCCTTGCCTAAGTCACTTAGGAGCGTTGCTGTGTGCTCTTAGCAGTGGCTGTGCTCCAGACCAAAGGTACCTCTGTTTTCTTGCTGGATGATCTCATTTTTACTCAGCCTTCAAAGATATTGTAAGCCCTAATTACTGTAAAAAATATTTAAAAGCACTTTCAGTTCTTTGGACAAACTGGACATGCAAATTTATTATTTAATAACCATTTTATGAAAATAATTTTCTGTAAGCATTGGACAAAATATCAGATCTCTAACTGGGAGAAATGCATACATTAATCTCCCTATCAAATTATAGCTGCCTACAACATAGATTTCAAAACTGAAATCTTCCTAAGCTTTAATTATAGCAACAACTGAGGCCCACAAGACAAAGAATGCAAGTTTTTCTGTTTTGAATTGTGTTTTCCCTTTTAATGTTTCCTGGTCTTCTCTCCTTTTTCTTTTCCCTTGTTTCATTAGTGCCGATGGCACGTACGAAGTTTCACTGTACACAAATGTAATTGTACAGAATAATGGAAGCATTCGCTGGTTGCCTCCAGCCATTTACAAGAGTGCCTGCAAGATCGAGGTTAAGCATTTCCCATTTGATCAACAAAACTGCACCTTAAAGTTCCGGTCTTGGACATACGATCATACAGAAATTGATATGGTACTAAAAACTTCCATGGCAAGCATGGACGACTTCACACCCAGTGGAGAATGGGACATTGTAGCACTCCCTGGAAGAAGGACTGTAAATCCTTTGGATCCCAATTATGTCGATGTGACATATGACTTCATTATTAAAAGGAAACCTCTTTTCTATACCATCAATCTTATCATTCCCTGTGTGCTAATTACTTCCTTAGCCATCCTGGTGTTCTACTTGCCTTCAGACTGTGGTGAAAAAATGACCTTATGCATATCTGTGTTGCTTGCCTTGACTGTGTTCTTACTGCTGATCTCCAAAATTGTCCCTCCAACATCTTTGGATGTTCCGCTGATTGGGAAGTACCTCATGTTTACAATGGTTCTAGTCACCTTCTCAATAGTTACCAGTGTCTGCGTACTCAATGTCCACCACAGATCTCCAAGTACTCACACTATGCCTCCTTGGGTAAAACTGGTTTTCCTTGAAAGACTCCCAGCCTATCTGTTCATGAAGCGTCCAGAAAATAATTCTCCACGGCAAAAGCTGTGCAACTGCAAAAAGACAAGAGCAGAGAATCTTTCCATGGACCCAGCCGTCTTGTACAAGAACTCTACCTACTTTGTGAACACAGCTTCTGCCAAAAAATATGATATGAAAATCACTGAGACTCTTGACAATGTCAGCAACCATCAAGATTTCAGGCTAAGAACAGGCATGAAATTTTCTCCTGAAGTCCAAGAAGCAATTGATGGAGTCAGTTTTATAGCAGAGCACATGAAAAGTGATGACAACGACCAAAGTGTAAGTAAAAATGAGAAATCATCCTGGTCTTTCCAAACTTCATCCCTTGTCCTCTGTAGCATGCTGTTCTTCAGGAAGGAGATTTGAATTCCCTAGCTAGCTTGAAGATTTTAGAGATTCTAGCCATAGGTTATCAGACAAAATAATGTTTGCCATTAAAACAACTTCATGAATATTAATTCAGTAAAGCCATGCTTTCCTAGAAAGTAACTCGGATGTTTATAAAAAGAAAAGAGAATGGTGGTTACCCAGTAAATCATGAAACATCCTCAAAAAAGCTGCATTGTGACATTCAAGTAATGTCTAGCGGGGGGGGGAAATACTGAGTTCCAGGTCTGGGAGTATGCCGCTTAAGAATATTTTCCCCCAATGTATTCAGAAAGACTTGAACATGATCAGCCCATGTTAACCAGAAACAACATACCTGCAGCTCAAGCTTTAATTTACCTAAGTGGGCACAGAAGAAGGACTTAGTAAAATTGGGAAACAATTGCAGACATCGTCTTCGCCCTAAGATCTCTGTCCATAACTGAGCAAGACATTATGTTGCTCTGTTATGGCAAATACAGTGGGTAGAATCAAGACCCTAATGCCAGCAGAGATGTTACTTCTTCCATTTGAGTTAAGTGAGACTTGTTATCAGCTATGAGAAGTACAGGATTCAAGACATGTTTAAGCAGTGTTGCTGGTGTCCTGTTCACATGCCCTGCTCATGTGTAACTAGCTGGCACGCTGAAGCTGATATAAATACACTGCACATAATGCTTGGAAAAACTCAGGTGGTTGGGATTTGTTTAGACCACCGTTAGGAAAAACTGTCAGGCATCCTCTCTGTGACCCCGCTCAGTCCCAGATCCCACTCAAACTCTAGGTTCTCTATTCCTGCTGCGCTCTCCCTCCTTCAGCCCAGCAGACTAAATAATTTTATAGTCTGGCTTCTGATATTGCAGAAGTCCCTTGAGGAACATGCTGCTGAGTAGTTCATGTTTTCTATTAACTGAAATTACTGTCAATATAAATAAAGAAGATCAGGAGTTAATGTTAGACATGAGCCTATACATATTAGAACTGCCTGAACAGAAGCATGCTTTACAGAGCAGGAAAAAAAATATTCTAATAGCTCAGAAACTCATGCAAGAATACGTCGTATATTAAAGGATCTACAGAGCCTCCACTTGAGACTAAGAACAATTTCTGAGGGTATTTCATGCATTAAAAAAGAATTGAATGCTTTTTACACGGGGTTTTCTGATATTACATATCACTGTTTTCTGGATTCATAAACTTAATTTCTGCTATCTTCCTTCATTATCACGCTCTGATAACAACCGCTCATGTACATTTCCTATAGCCTCTTTTCAGAAGTGCAGAATTCCCATTAGCAGCAGTGGAAATTAGAAGGGTGCGCTGAAAGAAATCTATATAATGTTCTAATGTAAGACGTGAGATAATTGACGAGCATGGTAAAGTCACTGAGGTGATGATGTCCCACACGTAACTAGAATCAATGACAGAGGAGATGCAAATGAAGATTGATATATTCATCCTTTACAATAATAGCATCAAAGTCACTTCAGGTTGAGAACAGAAACGAAGGCTCACATTGTGTTTCAACACATGCAAGGCCAAAGGGATTTTAATAAAAACAACAGTACTAATACACATTAAAACCCTTGGTTAAGAAGACTGCTGATAAGAGCTCAGAAGCTAACCTTGTTTAACAGCAGTAAATACTGTTTGTATTTGTCCACTGAGATTAACAGCATCTGCAAACTAAAATTAAAGAAAAAATTCCTTAATTGGATTGTAGCGTGGGTCCTTCCGGACTGACACCAGGCACTGACGCACCAAAACCATCTTAGATAAATTTACAGTATTTTTCTCCACTGCTCAGAATGGTTGCAGGAGACAGAATCCTTCCCAAGTCTAAAGTGATTTTATTCCCTGAACCTTGAGATTTATTTCCTTTTGTTTTCATAATCAAAGACTCTGTATCAGCAAGAGGAAAAGCAAAAGGATATGACGAATTGCTAATACCTTTAATTGGCTTTTTTTTTTCCAGGTCATTGAAGATTGGAAGTATGTTGCCATGGTAGTGGACAGGCTGTTTCTCTGGATATTTGTCCTTGTTTGTGTCCTGGGGACTGTTGGATTATTTCTGCAGCCACTTTTTCAAAACCACATTGCTGCCGTGAACCCTTAGTTGTTATTTAAAATTGTCAATGCCTACATAGATGCTGGGTTTCTTTTGGCTCTGTTTCCTCTCTGTCAAATCCGGACTGATGTCAGCCGAGTTGCTCTCACATCAGATTTATGGTAGGGATGTGGAAAGTAGAACTTGACTTGCTAGATTATTGTGATAGGAAAAAATCCAAAAACATTTCTTTTTTTTTTTTTTCCAACAAGTTCAGTTCTTCTGGTGGCATCTTGGCCCTTTTTTCAATTATTTGACATCTGAACATTACAGAGAAAGGCATTTACTGTACGATATGCCAGCTTGGCTCACAGGGATTATTTATTAAAAGGAATTTTATATACATTGCTTCAGGAAAGCCATTTTCTTTCCTTAGAATACTGCACTGTCCATACTTCAAAGAAGGTATTTAGTTCTTTCAAATGCATCAAACTATTTGTGTCTGATTTATAAAGAGCTTGACAGGTGGAATCACTGTTTAGCTGCTCTGAGTGTGATATTTAAGACCGAACTGGGAAACAGAGCCACTTCTGAGGTAACCACTAATAGGTTTCTCATCTTGCCATCTCTGCTACTAGATCAAACAGCAGAGGCTAAATTAACATATCATTAACAAATGTTTATATGCTTTGTTCAGTGATAAAATATAAATAAAATGTAAAATTTCTCCTCCTTTATATAGATTTAGTCCTGAAATGTTCCTGCAAGTTTAACAGCTCGTGTAAGTGGGGGCTACAGACGCTTTCACGAATCTAAAGGATGAAAGGAAGTCCAGTAGAGCATCTAGAGGACACAACAACCGTGAAAGGTGGCTGGAATCAGGCTAGACACCTGAGAACAAGCAGACCTGTGCATTTTGCTGAGAAGATGTTTACGCAGGTTTAAATACCACCCTCAACAAATGAGCTATGAAAGCTATCATGAGCTAGCACATGTACAGTCTTTAAGCCTTCAGCAAAGGGCAGATCAGGGCCTGAGACTCCCACCACAGAATAATCTCGCCAAACTTTGTCCCAGCCAGCTCGTATCCTCCACAAAGAGCAGTGGGCTGCTGATTCAAACTAAACCAACCGCAGCTTTTGCTAGGGACACTGTCAGGACACAGAATAATTTTACCACCACTGATAGGTACAACTAGCGACTGGTGAACAAACTGTTAACACCTACTAGTTCTTCTGAAAGGGACCTGAGGCCAACCTGTTCCAGGAGAGGATTAGCAGACACTTAAATGTGTATTAATCAGCAAGCTGCCGGTGAAGACACCTCTGGTTTATTTGCCCTCATCAGAACTAAGCGACATCCCTATCTAGATCACCATTCCCTAGCAGCTACAGACAACTACACATTTCAACACGCCACACCAGTCACACGGAGGCCTTCCCGACTGTTCAGAGATACTCCAGGACCTCTGCTGATCCCTACGTTCACTCCTAGCCCTTGTGCTGAACACTCCCAGCACTGCTGCCAGCCCTGCCCCCTGCTGCAGCCCCACTGCTCCCAGTGCCACCACCTGCAGCCGGAGTGCTTGAAGGGGTGGCCTTCCCCAGGGGCCTGAGCACTGCAACACAGCAGCTTAGGAAAGATGCACTGAAAAAGCAACAGAATTGGGGTGGGGAAGGCTCCGTGAGCAGCAGCAGCCTCTCTCCTAGGCTGTAGGCTAGAGGAAGGAATGGCTGTAACACTGTCATCCTCCCTTCCAGTCCACTTATGCTGTGTCCTCAAGCTGTGCCCTGAAGGACAGGGCAGGAGGGTGAAGGAGGCCTGTGGGACGGCCCTATTAGTGCTGGTGTGCCCTGTAACCACAGGAGCTGCCTCATCCTCCTCTCCCAGAGGGTGCCAATGCTTTGGTCCCCCCCGAACATTAACTGTTCTGGGAATTTCCCATGGTGCCCGGTGGGTGGTGTAGAGTTGTGTAGAGTTGGAAGGGATCAAACCTTCCTCCATGCCTTCTCCCTCTTAACTGTCTTCTCCCTCTTAAACCCGAATAGCAGAGCTGTTTGGCTCCAGCCAACTGTGAGACTGCTCACAGCTGTGAGATGAGATGGAGCCCACACAGTCCCAAGGGAGCAGAGGGGAGACTGTGCCCTGCAGGGAGGCACACCCCATGTTGGGTTATACTCCAGAAGCTGCCGTGGCATAGAACACTACAAGCACATGTGCACACACTGTCACAGCTGCTACGCAGCCTTTTCTGCTTACAGAGAAGCCAGAGGAAAGCCAGAGCAGCTGCTGGTGCTGCACAGTATAAAGGTGAAGCCACTTTAAATCCCACAACAACCCTGAACAGCCAGTCTGGAAGGGACAGCACAGACTTGAACACTGTCTCCAATCACTGCACCCACCTGCAGGGCAGGAGGGAGAGGGACTCAAACATCCAAGCAAGCGAGGCTGCGGCGAGTGGTCCTCAGACCCTGCAGCCCATCAGTAGGCAGATGCTGAGAGCAGAGACCCCTCTGCGCTCCTTTCCACCCCCACCAACAGCACTGCGGCTCCGTCTGGCTCTCCTACCAATACTTACCCTCTCGCCTCACCCACCCTGCACTGCCTGAACGCATCTGAACAAGGCCCCCAGTGCTCCTGTCTCACTGTCTGATGCTGTGAGCAGGAGCGATGGGTAACGCTCGGCTCTGTAACTGCAGCCTTCAGCTCCGTTACCCCCCTGGCGCAGCCGAGAGCTTCCAAAAGGATCTGGCAACTCAGCTAGCAGCCACCATGGAGCTCAGGCAAATCCAGGCCTCGACTTGACAAACCCAGAAAGTGCTTTCAGGAGGCACAACCCTGGCCCCAGGAAGATCCCTTCAGGGCTCGAGCTCCTCACTCAAGATATGGTGAGCTCTGGGGCTTTCCATGGCTGCCGTACTCCTTTATAATCACGAGTAAAGCGATATGCTTTTCTCAGGTTATGTTCTCAGAAACCACTTCGGCATTTTTGTCAAGTTTTCAGAAGTATTTCCATCCATAGCAAACTTCAGAATGGGAAATTTCACCCAAATTGCTAAAATTTCACAAAATTTTGACCTCTTAAAACTGTGGTTTCAGATTGGTAAACGCTATCTATTTTTGCCTCTCAGCAGCTCTGCCTACATAAGACATAAACCATCCCAGATTAACTTGTCAAAGAATCACAGGGTTTTCCATCTTGATTTCTTGACAAAATTTCAAAACCAGAAATTTTCCAGAGAAATTGAAACATTAGAAATGTATTCTTGCAGGATTATATGAATATGATAAGGTCCCAGTTCATCAAACAAAATAAACTTTAACTTTCCTACTTTTCAAGGTTTTTACAGCAATACTTTCATTTAAAGAGGAAGAATGTGGTCATTCAAAACATATTTTCCACTAAAACTGTTTCAATGAAAGTGCACAACCAGCTGTTGCTTCCCTTCTGGTGAAGAAAAGGTTCTGATGACGCTACCTCCATTCCCTAGTACGGTGTGAGGGTATTCTTTTCCTCATCACCTGATTTGATCAAGATCTGATCTTAACAAATCTTAACAAAAAGGAAGCCATTTCAAAGTAGCATGATCATTAAAAAGCAAAGGCTACAAAGTTTGTTACTGCAGATATTCTTGGGGGAATGAGCTTTCCCCTGTCCATACAGATTCTTCTATGTACTTCTGCAATGCAGTCATGGTGACGTGTTCTTAATGTATCACTCTCCCTGGACAGAAAAATAATCCTACCTCACATCTGAGCTGATTTCACCAGGAGCTTCATCACATAATGTTAGAGATAAAACATCTACACATACAAATACAGCTGGAAATGTCAGCAACTAGGCAAATTAAGCTAAAATACCTGTACCTCTGGATACAGTGGCTCTTCACTGCCTCTGCAGACCAGCCATTTCCAAACTCCTCAGCTTTAGACACATAATTTTGGGAAACACAGGCTAGGATCTGATCTTTGAAGCTTTAGCTCATTTCTGGTTATGACTCAAACAAAAATCCTAGTCATAATGCTGCCCTTTCATGGAAACCAAGAAGGCAGAAAGGGAAAACAGTTAATCTCAATGTCCTGGCAAGGCAAGAAAATGTGTTCACAAAGGGTTAAGCTGCAAGACCAAACGGCTGAGTTCTCTGGAAAAAAATAATAAAATCAAATGGACAGTAAAGCCTATTTCCTCTAAGCTAATAGAATTACAGAAATTATCATGAGAGCTTGTGTCTGGGGATGGAGTGAATGATGCTCTGAGAGACAGAAACTGGATAAACAAGCTCTGTGCCAAGAGCAGCTGAACCCAGCCTGACGCTCATTCTCTCAGCACTGCCTCTTAACACAGCGCCAAATGGGGTCGTCATTTATCCTTCCCTAACAACAGAGAGAGAAGCACCCACTAGGGGCTGCCTGCCGCCCCACTCCGCTCCCCTCTCACCGCTTCCATCTCCCTCCTCCCTTCACGCCCACTGCCCAGATGAGTCCAGCAAGCTCTGCGAGCAGGAGTCTTGCGCCACCTGGCCATGCCAGGGGGAGGCAAAAAGCGATATACAAGTTTATAAAGAAGCTGATGGGCACCTGGGGAATGAGCCACTTTGCAAACCATGATTTTGACTGAAGAGGAAACAAACCAAACACTGATGGCTCTGAAAGGCTGATATGGGATGATCCCTGGCAGTAAGCTTTTCCCAGGCAAGAGGAAAAAGGCAATCCCTTACACCTCAACTTCAGCTACATGTTCCTACTAAAAGGCCTAAATTCAGAAAAACATGCCAAGAAAAAACAAACAAAAACTATATTCCCACTTCTCTCTCTTGACTGATGCAATATTCTCTCCCCTGAAGATTTTTTACTATAAAAACTCTGCTAAAAGAGATCCTGTCAGGAACTTCAGTTGTTTTTTTTGTTTGTTTTGGGTCATTTTTGTTTTGATTTTTTAACTTCACAAAGAAAATACGTGACAATAGGAAAAGATTGAATCTATTTCCTCAGCAGTGAGAATTTACAGCCTCCAGGATCTCTTCTAGACAGGGTTATGGTGTGAGAGTAACCTTCACCAGAACTTCAAATACAGTGTCCCATTCTCCCCCATCTTTCCCTTGAACAACAGGGTTTTGTGGGATCAGGCTAGGATCCTATGCTCTTATTCCCCTTCCCAAATTCCACCTTTATAACCCCTTAAAGCAGGGATGGTCCACCAACAGTTATTCTCAAGTGCTTTGGTTAAATTTTGCCTCCAGCTCTAACCCCTGTCTCTTGCCAGACCCTGGCTGCTGTGTGTATCACTCTGGGCTTAGATTTCTGGGAAGTTATGCTTGTGCTGAATTACCCCTGGGAACAGCAACATCCTTCTTACACTGTGAAGAACCAGGCTACAGTAAAGCACCTAGCACTACCACCTGCAAGGATGACACACAGTCAGGAAAAAAAAAAATCAACATTAAAAGCATAACTGGAAATTCAGGTCTCATGATCTCAGTTCACTGCTAAATCAGGTGTCCCTAATGCCGATATCCATTTCGGCACAATTCAATTATAAGATTTTCATTAACTAAACTTCTCCTAGTAGCTTGGCATGAGAATTTTTTAAAGAAAAATCCTCTATAGTAGCTAACGGGAAAAATCTTCAGCCTTGTCAGAGTACCAGGTTCGTTTACGCACCAGTTTATGGACTCTTGCCTATTAATCTTGCCAGGACACTGCTCTTTGCCTACAATAACGTCTATTCTGTCTGCAATTTATTTGCTGTTTTCAATGCTCTGACAGTCCGAGTAGCTGGAAAGGGGGCAGCACAGCAAGTCTAATGGGAGCTCACTGCGCAGAACTGCGCTCAGGGTCCTGCCGTCTGCTGCTTCCAGGCATTTCACACATCGGAGGAGCGGAGCTGCCCGTACTTCCTATGCTCATACAATCCTCGCAGCTCAGCTCATCTTCAGCAGCCTCTGTCGACAGACAGTAATTCATAACACCATGGAGAGCATACACGCTTTCCTTCTAACCGCTGCTCTTTGCATTCTCTCTCAAGGTGAGTGATCCTTAATTTGTTTTTTCTTTGTTGGTAAAGGGGGGGGCTAAAGAGGTGAGCAGAAGATGGCTTTGGTGCCAATTATTTTAAGAAATGTTGAAGCTTATTGCAAACTAATGAAAGAAACATACAGAATCCTACCCCAGCTTTTTGTTATATAGTGTTTTGTGGTTTTTTAATTCCTTCTTATGAAGTGGTTAAGTAGTTCTGAATCACGATGCCGAACAAGACATACAGAGCCATTTTAACATTAAGGAGTGCACCATACATGTAAAGATTTGGTTTGATATATTGTAGAGTACTGAAGGACTAGAAGAAAGAAACAACATTAAAAAGCATTACATATGTGCTGCAAACAGCATGCATTATATCTGCAGATATAGAAAGCACAGAAACATTTACATTCAAAAGAAAAAATATTAATACACTTATTCTCTAGATAAAGCAGGTGCTAGATTAATCAGATCGGTGGTGACACATAAAAAGTCTGGCAATTTGGGTTTGACTATAGTAAAGTGTAGTTACAATCTAGCTTTAACATGATTCATCTAGAAGATTGAGTATTTCTTCCAGGAAGTCTCAGTCTGAGAGATAACAAAAAATAATTAGGGTAAGGCTAGCAGTTAAAAAGTATCAAAGAAGTATGTTCATTTTTTAATTAGCAAGTTGGCTTAAGAGATTTCACTAATCTGAAAATAAAATTGTCTTTGAAGTTTTCACTGAATACAGCTTGACATGAGGGGAACCTTTTGTCTGAGTGTGAGAAAAGCTCTTACAAATGTCATCTGCTAACAGATCAGCCACCTGCAGATACTTCTGCTTCCCCTGTATTTATCCCCTTGAAAAACACTAGCCTGGAGGAAAATACATTAAGTGTCTTTGCAAATATCTCTAGATTTGTATTTGTGCTCCAGAGGAACTGTAGAGTTTGTTCAACAGACTTAAGGTCTGTGTCTTTGCCAAATAATACAAAAAATAGTTGTTTTTTATTATTTTTATTTATTTATTTTAGGTTGGAGTACTAGAAAATGTGCTGTCCAGCAGTGCCTTTAAAAGAGAAAAGGGCACTGACTTTTGAGTACCGTCCAGTTGCCAGGATACTTGTCTAGCTAGATCTGGGAATAAAGATGTAGTTTGAAACACGGGCTCTCACACCTACCTCACTGTAAACAGCTGAAGGAGCCTGTGGTTCAACGATTCCAGCTTACAGCTTTCCCATCAGCCACAAGGCACCATGAGCAGCAGTATCAGCAGCAAAACGTAGAAAAGGCGTATACTGCAAATAAACATTATTTAGAGTAACAAATGGGTAATTACCACATTTCGTTGTATGTACTGAGCAACGCTGAATACAATGGTTAATCAATTTTAATCCTTATTTGCATATTTCAACAAGCACCCTGCTATCATCACTATTATCACACCGACATCACTAGGGCTAGAAAGCAGAAGGTTACCCTTTGTCTGGAATCTTTTGCAAGCCCTCCAGCAGCTCCCACACTGCCCGCTCTGTGAGGTTCTGCTCACCCCTTCCTCAGCTCCGCACCCCTGCTACTCCCGCAGGCCTGGGGGCCTAGACCTGTGGGGGGAAACGCGGTTTTGCACCTCGAACTCCTCAGTAACCTCTTCACGCTATCTTTGGAGCGCGTTTGGGGAGATGCATGTGAGAAAAGCCTGTCACGGGTGGCCGCCAGAGCCCACCGGGGGCAGCGGGGCCGCCGTGCGGGCCTCCCCCGGGCCGTGAGGGGAGCGGGCCCCAGGCCCCGTGCCCTCTCACCGCGCCGTGCCCCCGCAGGCTGCGGCGGCTCCGATGCCGAACACCGGCTGTACGCGGCCCTCTTCAAGAACTACAACCAGTTCGTCCGGCCCGTGAAGAACGTCTCGGACCCCGTCATCATCCAGTTCGAGGTGTCCATGTCCCAGCTGGTGAAGGTGGTGAGTACGCGGCCCGCCGGGGCGCCTGCGGGCCTGGGTAGGGCCGGCGCCGTTCCCGACGCAGTTCTGTTTTACAGGACGAAGTCAACCAGATAATGGAAACCAACCTGTGGCTCAAGCACGTAAGTAGGGATCGCCGCCCTCCCCACAGCGCGGCGGGACTCCCCGCTCCCGCCGGGGCCACCTCAGCCCTCCCGGCCCCCACCCCTCAGGGGAACACCGCAGCCCCCGGGAGGCGTCGAAGGGAGACGGGCGGGGCCCGCACCGGCACCCGGGGCCCCGGTCCCCGCCGCTCCCCTCATCCCCGGTGCCGTACCGGGAGCGTTACCGCCCCCCTGCGGCTCGCCCGAGGAGCCCGGAGGCGCTTCTGGCCCTTCCTGCCCCTCACGAGCGGCCGCCAGCCCCGCTGCCGCCCCGCCGCCCTCCTCTGCCAGCAGCTGCGGCTGCCACAGCGCGTACCCGCGGGGCCCACCGCGGGAGGCAGCTGTGCAGCCCAGGGGCAGAGCTGGCAGCTGCAGCCTCAACCCTCCTACACTTAATGCGCCTCCAAATGCATTTTTTCCCCTCAGGAATCCCCAGAGTAGTGTCTTGGTGGTTAGGAAAATGAACAGAGGAAACACCCCAGCGTGGAGGTCCCTCACCTGGCCATGCCGTGCTGTTTAGCCACCACAGAAGTGATAACAAAGCAAAAGCATCAACTTCACTTACAAGGAACTTTTATAGGTTAAAAATTCAAACAATTACTGTTGTAAATAGCAGCTTAATAACCAACTTAATATCTAGCTTCAGCTTAATATTCAGATTGGTTAAACTGGGGCTTAACGAGCACTGACAAACAAGACCGTTACTTCGCTGAATGAGGCCACCTGCAGCTTTTCCCAACCCATCTGCTGTGGGGGTCCTTCATTCAATGCTCTCATCTAGCACTGGAGCTACCTAACAATTTGTGTTCACCATTTAACAGTGGACCTGGCTTCTTGAGACCTGAATTACTATTCCCATCCTACACTTTCATCTTTTTTTCATCTACTGGGTACACATTCCTTGTACAGTGACTCGAACATGCCTAAGTCATACTTAGCCCCATGGGCCCATGGTCTCCATGTGAATAAATGCTAAACATCCACGTTTAACTAAGAAACATCTAATCATTGTAGTGTCCAGAATAAAACAACCCTAAAATCAATATGACAGCACTTGTTCTGACTTTGGTCCACAGAATTTCAATTTCATCACAAACCTAATGTAGGCTCACTTCTTCCATAATTAGATTTGGAATGATTACAAGCTCCGGTGGAATCCAGCGGACTATGGAGGTGCTGAATTTATCCGAGTACCATCTGGCCAGATCTGGAAGCCAGATATTGTTTTATATAACAAGTAAGACTCTTGCATGTTTATCTTCTTAATTCAAGCTTAATTCAGGGGTAATGGTTTTAAACTAAAAGAGAGGAGATTTAGATCAGACATAAGGAAGAAATTCTTTACAATGAGGGTGGCAAGGGACTGGCACAGGCTGCCCAGAGAAGCTGTGGCTGCCCCATCCCTGAACGCATTTAAGGCCAGGCTAGATGGGGCTTTGGGCAGCCTGGGCTGGTGGGAGGGGTCCCTGCCCGTGGCAGAGGGATTGGAAGTGGGTGATCTTTAAGGATCTTCGAACCTAAACCATTCTATGACTGTATTCTTTAGGGAGAAGGGAGGATATTTATTATTTAAAAAACAAACAAACAAACAAACAGCAAGTTCACTGAACTTGCTGAAAAAGACTGCTTTTCAACATCCCACATCTCCCTACTGCTGTTCTTACCTCTATGCCTTTGTACAGTCCTTTTCTAACTGCAGACCTAAATAAGTTTAACTACCTTTTTAGTTTTACTTTTTCACATGAACAAATGAAATTGTTACAAGATCAAGATAACAATGTGGGAGACTTAAAGAAAAAATACACCAATATGCTACGCAGGCAAAGATACATCCCAACCCTAATCCCTCTATCTATAGTTACTACCTCCATGGTCCACAGACGAGGTGGAAATACCAGTACTGCACATCCTCTTATCAGCCCTTGGGTTCTGACTTGCTTGATCTCACATTTGCTGTTTTGTATATTGACTGCACTGAGTCCTGTTCCTGTAAAAGAGAATATTGCCTTTCAAATTCTCCACAGTAAATTTACACAGCTGTTTATTTTAATTTTTAACTGTGAAAATTTATGACAGCCATTGACTGCGCTGCATATGCAGTTCAGTTCCACATCAGCATGTATCTGCTGCCTTTCACAAACCAGATTAAAGATTTAATGTACATGAACTGTTTATATGAAACTACCTGGATCAGTTGCATTCTGACTGTTATTTTTATTTGTTTTACAGTGCAGTTGGGGATTTCCAGGTCGATGACAAGACAAAGGCCCTACTGAAATACACAGGCGATGTGACCTGGATACCCCCAGCTATATTTAAAAGCTCATGTAAAATAGATGTAACCTACTTCCCATTTGACTATCAAAACTGCACCATGAAGTTTGGTTCCTGGTCTTACGATAAAGCCAAGATTGACTTGGTTTTAATTGGCTCTACAATGAACCTGAAAGATTACTGGGAGAGTGGAGAATGGGCTATTATTAAAGCTCCTGGTTATAAACATGACATCAAATACAACTGCTGTGAAGAGATATATACAGACATCACATACTCTCTTTATATTAGGCGCTTACCTTTATTTTACACTATCAACATGATTATTCCATGTCTACTGATTTCTTTTCTGACTGTATTAGTTTTCTATTTGCCTTCAGACTGTGGTGAGAAAGTGACACTCTGTATATCAGTCCTTCTATCTTTAACAGTGTTTCTACTTGTTATCACGGAGACTATACCTTCTACGTCCCTGGTAATTCCACTGATTGGGGAATACCTCCTTTTCACCATGATATTTGTAACTCTGTCTATTGTCATTACGGTATTTGTACTTAATGTACACTACAGAACACCCAAGACACACACAATGCCTGTGTGGGTGAGAACGATCTTCTTGAACTTACTTCCCAGGATCATGTTTATGACAAGGCCTGCCAGCGATGAAGAGACTAATCATAAGTCAAAACCATTTTACATGTCTGAGTTTTCAAACTTAAACTGCTTCAACAGTTCTGAAACCAAATGCTGCAAAGATGGCTTTGTATGTCAAGATACAGCATGCAGCTGTTGCCAGTATCAGAGAATGAAGTTCTCAGATTTCAGTGGCAATCTCACAAGAAGTTCAAGCTCTGAATCCCTAGATCCTCTGTTTTCATTTTCAGTTCTGTCACCAGAAATGAGAGATGCTATTGAAAGTGTTAAATACATTGCAGAAAATATGAAAATGCAGAATGAAGCAAAAGAGGTAAGAATGTATTTTACTATTACTCAAACTGCAGACAGCATTTGCAATTAATATATTTTGTAAGAAAAAAGATATCTTTAAAAAAACAACACCATTATTTTATGGCTTGTGTAATTTACTTGTATATTACGAATATACGCAACTTTGAATGTAGGTAAGTTTGGTGAGCAGCTCTGTTGCATTCTTTTCATTGACAATTGACAACACATACACAGGGTGAAGCATGTTAGGGTAACTAGACAGCCAGCTCAGTATCAACTCCTACAGGACTTATAGCGTAGATTTTCCAAATTGTAATCTTAACAGTGGAATTTGCTGTTTCTGTGTCCTTAGAAAGTTACAATCTCCCTACACCTGACCATCAATAGAGAGAATCAGACTTAAACTTCCTTCACAGTGAAGACATTTCCTATTCTGCTGCTGTGGAATAAAGTAATGAAGTGAAATGAGACAATTGCTGTAAGATAGGGACCATCACCTTTCATAACTCTGCATCTCGATGCACTAAAAAAACAAAGCAAAAACTGTATCAGCATTCTTTAAACATTCTAAGAACAGCAACCACACCACTACAATCATCACTGAATCTAAATCCTATGCAGTAAGGCACTCAAAGTTAGGATGAAGTTAGTTTGTTTATGCTGAGATTAGAACTTTATTTAGAATACTTGATAGAGAATTTTTTTTTTTTTTTTAAGTCTGCCTTCAAGAACAGCTTCAAAAGACTTCAAAAACAAAACAAAACAAAAAAAAAAAAAAACCATTTTCCATTTCACATTACCCTTCCTGAAGAAAAATTAAGTCTAAATTTAGATTATGATCTGAAGAGTACCTAAAAGGATCACCTAATGTAGTTACTATTAATATGTAACATACGTAGATACATATACATTCAATGTCACTCCTGTTGTAATGTCCACTGGAAAAAAAAATTGGAAACTTCGTTCCCTCTTAAATGTGAGGTAAGGAGATCAGTTTTACATCTTGCAAGAGAACATGGTAAAATTTCAGTATTACATAGGAAACATATCAAATAATTATATACCAATTAATCTTTGCTACATGCTGCTTAAGGAGCAATAGGAACAGTCTTCTTCAGTAAGCTTTTTCTGTAAAACCTGATCACTTAAGAATGTAAGGCTTTTCACTTTCAGGATTAACATACAGAGGAGAAATTGTACTTCTGATGTTTAGTGTCTTGGTGAACAACTCCTTGTATTTGAAGAAACAGCTTTTGGCTTTAACACTAATAGCATATTCAAACAAAGCTTCTTCAAGATTAATATATTTATGAATGAAAACAGCAACATGAAAGTTGTACATACATGAAAGAAAACCTACATATGGAAAAAAAAATCTATGCTTGCTATATGAAATGCTCCTAACGGCTAATGCAACTTATTTATCTAATAAACTTGCTTACTTGCTATTTGATCTATTTTTCAGATTCAGGATGACTGGAAATATGTTGCCATGGTAATTGATCGTATTTTTCTATGGGTTTTCATCCTGGTATGTATTCTAGGAACAGCAGGATTGTTTTTACAACCTTTGATGGCTGGAGATGAGATGTAAAAATTCAAAATGTTATATTGTGAAGTCAAATAAAACTTTTGCCAACCAAACTCTGCACTCCTACCCAAGCACCTGATCTCTCTATGTGTTTCAGTAGTAGTGTAAGGATCTTTCATGGCCTCAACTTTGCTTGACCAAGAAGGCTTTATTAAAAAATGTGAAAACATGAAAAAAATATTTTGAATTATTATGACCGCTAATTCCAAAGTAATATGCACTATGCTTGCCAGCTATTTTTTAAAATAATTGGAAAAGATGCAGATCATACATTAAACTTGCCATGGATGTTTTAAAAAGCTAGTAAAGAAACTGAAAATTGCATGAATATTCTAAGAGTCAAGACAGGTAGAATACTTTGGGCAACTTTGTCTGGTGTTAAGTACCTTTAATTCCTGGCAGGATCTTCTGGGATATTTAGTTTATTCATATTTAGTTTAAGGAATGCCCTCGTGAGGATGAAATGATTTAGAAAGCATACATACCAAATTGCTTGAATGCAGAACATTGCCACCTAGTGTATAAACTGATGCAAACTGTAGGAAGAAAGGACTATGGGCACGTTTATTACAGAAGAAATAGGTGAGTAATAGATGATGGTAATTAAAGCATTGTCATGTAGTGTCTGTGTATCCCCGTATTGTCACTGCATGAGAAGTCTGTCAAAGTTATTTAAACCTAATAATGTTTAAAACTATACAAGTTAAACACAGTAAGATGCAGTCATTGGGTAACGCAAAGTATCAAAATGTGGTATGATATTTTGGACACAGAAACATCCTGCACAGTGTTTTATTATAACAGAAGGCATGTAGATATTAAATATTCCTGTAAAGTATGTTAAAATTGTCTCTTGGGTATATGACATCTTTTTCTTTTTTCTTTTTTAATTAATATCTGCAAATCATTTAATAATAATAATGAATAAAACATGCAACAAAATACTGTAACGAGAAAATGTTTTGTAAAGATATGAACCATTCTCTCCATACCAAACTGGAAACTTTTTAGAAATGCAGTGGTATCAAATGATGTAACTGTTACGAAAATAAAGAGAATGAAGCTGTTGAAAATAGTGATTTTTTTCCCATTTATTTTGACTGAGTAACAAAAGCCATATAAAGCAGCATTAGGTACAATTCAGCACATTCAGAAACGAGTTACATAAGTAGAGGTGCATGCTTCTGGGTCATTTTTTTTTAATTTTTTTTTTTTTTTTTTTTTTTCGCTTCAAACACACCTGAGGATGGGCTGGAGACCCCAAGGATTTGAGCATCATCTTTCTAATCTGAACATATCGTATGATTATAGAAACACCTTAAAGAATTTCAAGGATTTGCAAAAATTGTTAGTTACTAAGATAAAGATTGGGACTCCATTGCCAATAAACTGCCAAACATCTCATGATATAATTGGGCAGTCTCCGACCATCATTTAACAAAAAGATGCAGTAAGGGTGTTTATATATATATATATATATACATATATATATATATATAGCTAGTCCATACCTTTCCTTACTTTGTTTTCTGTTCAGATAAATTTCAATAAGCAATTCAAAAACAAGGAGGACTATAAAAAGAAATTTTGATTTTGAAGAGAAAAGAAGATAACTAAAGCACTTCTCATTTTCACACAAAGTTACTGATGCATTAGTCTTAGTAATACTGAGAAAGTTAAAAATGTAATTAATGGATTAGATTAGATAATCATTTAAATTCAACTTTAAGTTATTGTGGAAATACAGAATATACTGATATCTAATGACATATGTAATCGTATATCTGAAGAAGAGATTCCTTTTTCATAATTATTTGAAATTAGATTTAAAAAAATATTTTAAAAAATAGAACATTGGTTGGCATCATTTCCCTGCCCATGAGACTGAAGAAGCTATACAAAACCAAGAAAATTCTGCTGGCGAAAGAATTTGAAATAAACTTCCAGTTATATATAAGTTATGATATTAGCAATCAGTATTATAATCAATACAATGTCAAATAGAGCTATTCTAAAGGTGATAGAGAGAGGAAAAATGTATCTTTTCCCCAAATCTATAAATACTATTACTTACATTATCAACAATATAACAATTTACATTAAACGTTTCACCTAAACATGCTATTATTGGTCTGCGAATTTAACCAAACAAAAAACTTACCAAGATTTGTTCTTCCTTTTCATTACTCCATTAGTCTTGCAGGATACAAATGTGTTATAAAATAACATCATAAGTAACTATCAAAGCTTACGTGTAGGAAAACACTATCTCGTCTCTTTCAGAAATAAAACTTTTCTTAAAAGTGGCATTGAAATGAATTTGAATTTAAATTCATTATTAAAATATATTTTAATGATATAATTAAAAAGTTGCAATATATATACACACACTTTATTTAGTTTTCAACACAGAAAAAAGAAAAGAAAAGATGGAAAGCTTTAAGTCCTTACAGTTCAGTTATATGTGATTCTATAAGTGAGAGAACCTATAAAAGGTAATTTTCTAAATTCAATTTAACATATGTGAAAATTTAATCGTCTGTACTTTGTTACATGGCATATGAATTTTCAGCCTATTTCCTTCAGAAATGCATTCTTCAAATTCCTGCTATTTGTGCTCCAAAACTTAATTCTGCAAAGCAAACAAGGTCGGGAAAAAGCAACATGTTTGCCAACTAAGATTAGTATCACAATCTTCATCAAGAATAAAGAAATCTGAATGTTCTGACCTATTAGAACAATTGTGCAACTTGGACACCTCATTTAATTGCCTTTGCCTCTCTTTCCATAGCTGATACAGAGATCTCAATATCCATGTATCCTGTAAGCGTTTTAAGGCCTACTGTGTTGTGTGTTCACATTAGTATGATAGAGTTAAAAAGGTTGTAAGTTCAGCAGCAAATTCGACTGAAAATTTACGAAGACACAACACAGCCAAATCACTATTTGTATGCTGAATATGCATAAAGTTCAGATGACATTTTTATCATCATTTTTAATTTACGCTGTAGAAACTCCGTACAATTACAATACACTGAAGACAGCTGATGCCAATATAAATTCACCTTTGCGTACTATAATAAATTGAAATAAGCAACTCTACTGTGTAAGTATCTGCAAACATTTAATATGCAATAGAACAATTTGCATAGTAATTTAATAATAAGACTACAGCAATCATCATTACAAATTTTTAAATCCTTCTACTTCTCAGTAGGTGTCAGTATATACTGTTTCTGACATATACATGCAAGTGCTTGAAAAGGTTCTTTAGAGCCTGACCTGATTTAGAAGTATCTTAGTAGACTGGCACTAAGTAAATTGACTTCTGGGTGTCCTATATGTCATGCTTTAACATCAAAACAATTTTATGGCTTGGGGTTTTTCCTTTTTTTTCTTATCAGAAACATGCCTATAAAGAACATGCATGGAAACAGAGTTACTGCAAACTTTTTAGAGAAGGATGTCAGCAAGAGACAGATCCAAAACTATTTTATGCATTTGTACTGCCTATGTGCACAGGTACTATTATACTTGCCCATTTATGAATAACCGGAATAAATAACACAAGTGATCCAATTATTGAAACCAGAAGAAAAGTCCATAAGAACATTCGATCAAGCACCTGAGCAATAAATTTCCAGTCTTCAACAACCTAAAAAACAAAGAACATATAAGAGCTGCTCAGTACATGCAGGAACAGGTAAAAATACAGCATCAAGCATCAAACCCTGCAATAGTTAACCACTTCACATTTGCTTCCCCCTCCTAATCAGGTCAATTTGATAACTCCTCTTTTATATTTACACACACAAACACACACGCACTATATATAAGAATCACACTATGACCTAGAGCAGGAACAAACTTCTCTTTATGACTGGTAAACCATACAGCACAAATATTAGATTTTAATGGAGCAACTGACCCTGACAAGCATTGCACATCCTTAACTATATATATAGAAAAATCTGTAGACAACTTTATAACATAGAAGGATTTAGGATTCATGCCACAGCCTCATCATAAAGTAGAGTTCCCAGGCAGGAGCTAGATACAAAAGTTGTATAAGATTAATACAATAGCTGCTGTCTACTGTTATATACAAAACCTGAAAACTTATGTTATCATTGCAGGGAATTACACACCAGGGAGAATACTTACACTACTTTCAAAAGTCTTTTCCTTTTTGATAGGATCACTCCTGTCTACACACAGTTTTGCAAGTATGCGTAATGTAGTTACACAAGAAAATTAAAACCCTGCCAAACAAGTATCTTTCATTTGAAATGGAGCTGTCTGCATTTCCCAGGCCTACTGCTTCCTAAGAGGCAAGGCTACAACACCAGTTGTGTACATTTTATTTTCAACAATCAGGGCTAACAACTTTCTGCAGGTAAAACTTGCATTCTCTGGAAGCCAAATAACAAAACACAGGTGAGTCCCCCTGTCATCTATGTATTCAGTTCTAAGGTTTAGAGTCACAGCAACTCTTCACCAAAACAAACCAAACAAACAAAAAAGCTATCATCTTTCTTGTCACTCATAGTCAGAGTAGGCTCAGTAAGAAAGAAAACTAACCATCATTTTACTGGAAATTATATATTTAATAGCAAACTACTCTTTTTGCCTTGTATAAACAAGGCATGGGTACACAATGCATTGCATATACACTGATCCTGTTTTAACAGTACAGTGGATATACCAGTACAGTAGATAGCACAGTTATTCAAAATCCAGGCTGTATCTCTTGCGATAACATTAGAGTCCTGAGAAGCTGCATCAGAGGAGTTAGCTTACTCCTATACTAGCATAGAAGCTCATACCTCTCAACAACCAGCAACTTCTGAAGACAATCATTTCTGTGTAAATTGAAAGAAGCTCAGACTTCACTGTCAGAAACATGTAGCAACATCATGAGACAAGACAGCAAACTTCTGTATTTCTATACTGGCCTGAAAACAGCAGGTTGATCTCTCATGCTCCAGTGGTGCCAGTTTCAAAGCAAGGAAAGAAAATAAATTCATAATGCTCTTACCTGCATGGTATAAATACCCACCAAGGATAGTTCAGAGTGCAAATGTACAGACTGAAAAAACAACCCTCAGACATCTTTCAATATAATTTAAAAACCAATAATGATAGGGCTACAAGAAACCTCTTACAATTGTTGAGTCCATGTGCGGTCTCAGCACAAAATGGCTAATACACAGTAATAGCCTGTATTTGAAGTAATACAAATTATGGAATTAAAAAAAAAAGTTTTTATTTGGAATAAAAAGCTCCAAAATAAGGCTTAGCAGTATTTATTGTGAAGACGTAAACAAAACATATGTTTCAGGTAGCCTTCAGGTACAAAATTAAAATGATAAATACCTATTTCTTTCAACATGAAAATACCTGCGGTGCTGCTGGATGTTAACAGTACATGTTCTTATAACAGACAAGTGACTGAAAACATATAATTAACATGAGTTTATTTCTAAAAAAAAAAAAAAAAAGACATACTTGAAGAATCCAAGGACAGCCCAGTATCTCCAGTATCTCCGTATTGTAGCATACTTCTTTCCCATGAAGTACCAAAATTGGAAAATTGGAAATCCTAGCTCATATTTAATATGCAATCACTTAGCAAACCATTACTTGTTTAATTTCTACTTCTAACAAGATTAGTGTAATATGACTAATATACCCACCTCACGAACTTCATTTTCCTTCATAACATGCCTCGTAATATACCGGATAGAATCTAGAGCAGCTTCCAAGGTGTTCCTAGATGATTCTGATCCGTTCATATTTCCTGTTTCCTCCTTCTGCGCAAAGTATCTATCTACGTGACTTCTCATGCAAAGCAGCTTGGGAAGCTTGTGAAGAAATATCTTGCGAACCCAAGGTGCCATAGCATTGTGTGTAGACGAAGAGCGATGATGAATATTGATAGCAAAGACAGTTATCACAATGGACAATGTCACAAATATCATAGTAAACACCAAGTACTCTCCTATAAGTGGGATAACTTTAGAAGATGATGGAATAATCTCTTCAATGACAAGAAGAAAAACAGTCAAAGATA